ACCGTTTATTTTAGTTCTTTACGGGATGTTACCATTCAAACATGTCAAGTTGAAGCTGTAGAGTTTTCCAGTTGGCAAATATCCATTACACGTAAAGTTCAAAGTTTTCAAAATATAGGTTCAAGTCGACTATTCCTTCTTCAAACAGCAGAACTGTTGACTCTGTTATGGCTGACTACAAGAATTGGCGATAGTCACGAACATACCTTGTATCCTCTGTCCCGCAGGGTGATGTCAGACCAAGGTCTAGGTAATCAACCACCGTGAAGTGATGTCATCCTGTATACTATCTTGATGTGGTAACATAAATCAAGATTATACAAGACAAAGGGGTTTTATGGCTTAATTTAACTTTATTTAGGGGTTAATTAACTATATGTGTAAAGAAAAGTATAAAAAATCCCGATTATATAAAGTACAGCTCTTTGCAAGAGTAGGGCCTACTTGTGAATTAGTAATGAAAGAGTACCAGGTTAAATTATCAATGGAAATTACGATGTTTAGTATGCATTATGGTCCAGATTTCTATATTTTATTTGAGTATTGTTTTGGTCAAAATATAGTGTAAATATTTGATTTTTGAAAGTATACTACAAATCTGTTTATTTAAGTCTTAAATAATATTAGTTAACGTAGGATTTAACAATATAAAATACTCATTATTGTACTTAACCATATGTTTGAAACTGATATCTTTTGTGTTTGAATTGTTGCAGTATACAGCCTACTTTTCCTTGCAATACATGTTAAAGAAAATTTAGTAAGTCAAATTAAATAGCATTTTCATCAATCCGTACCGAAAGTAGCTATTTTGACAACACTTATCACCGAAAGTACTTGTTTTTTAAGCTCTAATAATTTAGAGCAAGGGAAAAACGACCAGCTGATTTTCCCTCTCTAAAAATTTACTTGCCCTCTCTCTCTCAATTAATTCTCCATCTATCCACTACTCACGCTAGTGTTTTGTTACGGTTTATTTTAATGATTGAAATCAGATGTTTTCATTGTTGCACAATCTACATGTATACAGAAACAGACATTAATTTGTTTTGCTGTGTTTTTAGCATAGTACGTGGTTGAAATTGCTCAAAATATGTCTAACATTCCTGATGATTTGATGAAAAATGCTTCACAGATAAGTACAAACCTGCCACCAAAAATATGAAGAGTAATACAGAAAGTTTACAAACTTTCTGTGATTACTGTGATTCTGTAAAGTTTACAAATAATTACAAAATGTTAAACCAAATAAAGTAAGCTACGAAGTATTTATACATATTTAAATATATGTTTAGGAGTATGTATCTAAAAAAAGGCGACGATCATGAAACCATATACGTTGTAAAGTAGATTTTTTAAAGAGTGATCTAAAACTAGGTTAATATTACTAAAGATCTATAATCTGTATGTGTGTATTTTTGCATCGCGATGAAAAGTGTATTTATGTCCAGAACAAAATTATTACCACATCGGGTACTTAACAAAGGCGTGGTTTGAAGTTATCATACTGGCTGAGCCCAACGCTTAAAGATCCATTACACTTTATAACTTCTAAAATTGATTTCAAACAAGATAGTATAAGTTGAAAAGTCCCATTGGGAACCCCAATAACATATTATAACGGGATCGATAAAAAATATTAATGTATATCCTGTAGGCTATTAGTACTGTTTTTTTCCATAACTGTTGTTTTAATTAATTATGCTTACGTGAAGTACGAATTAACATCAAATTTTATAATAAATGATAGACTACAATATTATACTGTATTAATTGTTGGCAAAATGTGCAAATCGATGCCATAACACAGAATGAAGAGAAGACATTATTCCCTCCTTGTCTACATATTCCACTCTTTATTCTGTAGTCACATCACAGCATAACGAATGAATCACTATATTTGTTCTGTGGTCATGTGTCACAATGGATATTCAGCTGATCAGCTGATCAGAGGCTTTGTTATCTGAACGCATCCCCAGCTGTCAAAACAGTCAAATCCTTATTGCGAACGTCAATCGACACCATAGGCCTATTATTATATCAGAAAATCTTCGCAAAGGAAAATTGATTGTAGGAAATCGTGCAATTAATTGATTTATATAGTCGAGGGACCTGCAGACCTGTTCTGTACTAATGGCCAACTGAGTACTAATGGGTACCTTGGGACACGGTCTGACCCTTCGATCAATCAATCAAATGGCAACCTACACAGGGAATTCGGTGTGCTATTTGAAAAGAATTTACGGTAACAATTAATCCTTGTAATAAAAAGTAAAACACAAAGATTCTGATTAAAGTCTTTAAAAGTGTGATTTTGTTTTAACAATTTTTTTCTGGGTTGATATTTAGCTGAGAGTATATTTGAATATTATTATGTATCCAGTGCTTGTAGTTTTAAATCAAACCGTTGTCAGTCTTCCATTAATGTCAATTAATAAGTTTAAAACAAATTAAACATAATGGATTCGCCATTCAAACTATTTTATGCATGCATATGGAACATTTATTAGGAAAAATAATATTATGTGATTTATTAAGCTCACAATACATTCTAGTATTCCGATTGTGAATAACAAAAATGTCAGAGTTTATGTATATTGATGTAATTGTCGATAATAGCCGATAAAGCCATAAACTATACAATCGTTTATGCCCAGATTGTTTACAACCGATCTATATTCATTCGGTTTCCTTCAACTATAAAATATAATTATAATAATTGTAAGTATTAAAAAAATTAATATTTAACGATTGATAATGAAGTAGTCCTCTAAATCTCTAAACCTCTCTAAATAGTTTTCAAGTTAAAGTAGGGAATATGTAGTAAGCCATCAAGCAAAGTTACTTTTAGTGCGCGTTGAAGTTGTTTGTCAAGAAAACACTTGATCGTGTTTAAACCACTTATTAAATTTATTTATGGAATGCTTATGGTATCCTATGTTACCTAATTAAATGATGATTTATTATATCGACTGTTCTCATATTTGAGGAATCTTTATATAAAACAGGTGTTTGAAGATAGTGGTTTTAAAATATTTAGCAAAATAATCGCAGTTTTGCTTCCATTATAAATAAAATGTCAATTTGGGAAAAGTTTGCAAATCTACCCCTTCAAAGGAGTTTCTGTTTCCACCGTAAATTTTGGAGTTGCGAGTCGTCTGTTCCAATGTTAAACTTTGAAGTTCCCAATTGTCTGATCCCAATTTACGTTTTAGATTACCCAGTTTTTTTTTGACATTGTAAATTTGTAAAGTGTTTATACTCCACAAGTTCAAATTCCATAGGTCATTGTTGAATTGGTGCGTATGCCCTGCATAGTTTTTTTTTACTTTTTAGTTTTTGCGTGATTTAAGGAAAACCACATTTAAAATTTTTAATGTATTTATATTTACAACGTGGTAGTGGTATGTAGAGTTACATCGATGGGTATAGAGTTGTATATCTCCTCTAACAATTTAATAACAATGAGTATGAAAACACAAAGGTGTATATTATATTATTTATGATTTCTTCCAGCCTCAAAAATGTACTCCGTAGTAAGGTGTTGACTGTTTGAATGCATATATTTTACAAAGCAAAGTCATGGCAAAATTGTTGATGAGTTATGTAAATGTTTCAAATCACTTGAAACATCTAGTTCTTGGGTGCTCAACTCCTGAGAACGAATAAAGATTTCACCACGTTTAAGAACGTTTAGATTTTAAAAACGTTTAAAAACGTTTAGATTTCACCACTGATTTAAGATATGGTGGACTGAACGATAGCGATTCTTCACTTTGGTAAATCGTGCTGATTCTTTTATCTTGGCAATTCAAATAATTTTGATCGCGTCTTCCATTTTGAGGACAACAACTATTTTAAAGTAACATGGTCGTTTGATTGAGCAATGATTTAACTTACGTTGGTTTTAGTTGGATTAAAAGTTAACATTTGTAGAAACACTAATGAAATCAACCGGAAGTACTTTTAAGCTTAAAATAACAAAGTCTTTCCTTGTGAAGCGCTTGTGTATGACCTAGCTATTTCTTCTTCGCCGAAATATTTACCATATTTTAATACGAAACGAATATCCAAAGAACATATACTGTTCCAATTCTGGAACAGCCACAAAGTAAATGGTGGCAGAAAAATTTATTTGATTTGTTCAAACAGATAGATTTAACTTAAAACAAGTATACTACATACCTACACATCATAAGATACACATAAGATAAGTTGTCATAAGATACACATAATGTATATCACAAGAAAATTCCTTGTCTTTGAGCAAAGGAAATATGTGTTTTAGTCTAATATAGACATAGACCGCGGGAAAGAACGTATTTATACTCATATTAATTTTAGAGAAAAGAACCATATGTATCTCATAAAAAAGTCTGCCAAACAGAATTTTGTAGTCGCATAAATGAATAGTATTCATTTAAAGGTTTGAATGTCGCCTAATTTATTGAACTCTAGACATATATAAATGTGATCGTTGTCATTGCAAACCCAAATGCACAGTAATAAATAAATAAATGCAATAATATGTATTTATTCACCGTTTCTTATTCAACTCCTTTTCAAAATAATAAATTTTAGGCCAGAGAGGAAATCTTTGTACAGCTTTGGAACATAGTAGAAGAGTTTCCTTCTGGGAAAGTGAAGCAGGATACGTCCATGAGGTTTCTGCACTGAAAGACCTCCTCCCGAAAGATGAGCTTCTCAAGGTACTGTGGCTCTTGTAAGACAAGAACCTTGTGCACCATGCATCATGTCATGATCCTGTCACTGTTATACCAGCTGCAGCTCTCTATTGAATGACATGCTCAAATCTTTGTAGAGTAAATGCACAGAATCACTAAGTTCTGATGATTTGAGTTAGGCACATTTCCTCTCCAGAGATACTGTTTTCATAAGCCAAGAGTCTGTAGGTGATTAATTAAGTAATTTGACAAGTAAATGCGTTCTATGTGTGACCTTTGACTAATACTAGTCTAAAATATATTTATTCGTTGTAGGATCGGCAGTCGGGGGAACGGAACTTGTGAGATCAGCGTGGGCAAGCCCGAGAATGAACCGGTGGAGGACACGGACTTCGACTTCTTCCTCATGAGCGGGCGATGTCAAAACAGAACAGGTCAGTGAAAAACTATCTAGATCTCGCTGAAGTGTTTATATTGTAGTCCAAATAAGTATCTGTGATATTAGAAAGACATTGTTAAAAGGGGTATACTCACACAAGAGTGAAAATACGTATTCAACCCCCCCCCCCTTTTGGCCCAAAATAATCTAAGGGTACCCCACCACGTAATCAAGAGCTCTCCTTCACCTATCTGCAGAACTGTTTTATAGCAAACTAATTATTCGATTATTTTAATAAAAAGTAAACTGTTAAGCGTGAAAACTACACTTGAGCGTAAGATATTTCATTGTATGTTCATAATAGTATCTCATAATAGACGTATACACTTAGATTAAATCATTAAATAGAGTTACCTTCGTCAATCAGCTCATAGTAGAATTACAATATTACGGCCGTTTCAGCATCTTCGTGCCATCATCAGACGTTCAGCCTCAGTGGCGTCGCGTCGTTAATATACAAAACCATAGACGTAACATTGTAATACTACTATGAGCTGATTGATGAAGGTAACTATTTAATGATTTAGTCACAAGATCAGCTCAGGGGCAAAAAAATATAGATTTTAAGTATACGCTTAGGTTCGTAAAAACCTAGATTTATACGATTGAACCGAATTCCATCCAAATCGGATGACTTTTTTAAGTTTCCGCACTAACGGGCACGTATATAAATATATATAAAGTATATATACAAGTTTGAGCTAATGGTCTTGGTGTCTGTGGACATTAAATAGAGGTCACGAGTCTAGGTCTTACAAACAGACCTACATAGCTTATTCCCTATTTGGAAAATGCCAAAGTTCTACTACCGAATTGTACGTGTCTATAAGTAATTGTACGTGTCCGAATGGTTATTCTACTTTAGTCAAGCCAGAAGGGTTTCCTATGATGAATAACACTCTCGACCTATGTCGAGGGTGTTATTCGTTAATTTTACGTATCAGTGATCAGATGCATATTCATTCTGAAATAGGACTATTTCTATATTCTAATACTTCATTTTACTATTAAAATAGTCTTTACTTCTTACGGGTCACATATACTCACAGTACTCATATTTGTATTTGTCGTTTCCGATTTACTAATTAATAATGATTTGGGTGTAAACAAACATACTTTCCAAGTATACAAATCAATTGAAAACCCATCTTGACTAAAAAGTTAAACTTAGTGTTGTAGTATACAATAAGAAAATTATTTGGTAATCCAATACCTGAAACACAAGTTTAAGATATTCCTAAATGATTAAAACATGTGCCAGAGAATTCTACAACTCGGTCACAATCAAAGGCGTGGCATTTATGTATCAGAAAACACTAGGCCTACTTGTAACACAAGTATTACGTATTGTTATATTATAAGGTTTCAATACCTACTATATTATTTTTACTATTGGTCATAATTTGTTTACATATGTCACGAGCTACATTTAAAAAATGTCGTATTCGTATAAATTTCTTATATCGTATTACTATAAAAAAATAATTTGCAGGAAATAATGTATAACCATTCGTGACAGGCAATATCACCAGCTTATCTCGTACTTTAAAGCGCCTTGTAACTAAAATGAGACAACACCAATACAGTGAAGTACTGCTTCTGCCTTCTATCAATGCACGGCACAGGTTAAAAGGGACTCCAGGAGCAAAGCATTGTTGACCGTATTACATCCTACTCGTGTGCAAATAGAATAGGCCTTTGATGGTGTAGGAACCGTACCATTATTATCCAACATTAATGATGAAATAATTCTAAACATGATAGAAACGAGTACCCGGGGGGCAGTCTTCCGGCGACCCTACCCAGCGAACTCTCCATAAGGAAGAAGTTATTAAGGTAGGCTGTACGGAAAAACCTAGACCCGGAACCGATTTTCTTTTTCATTTTGATGTTCCCAGAGGGCAAAATTATTTTCGTTCTATATATATATATATATATATATATATATTTATATATATATATATATATATATATATTTAGGGTGTATACAATCTCCCTGGAAAGATTGTATGCATTTTTTCCTTAGGAAAAATAAAAGAACATATCAACATGCGTCTAAAATGTCTGGTTTTATGTCTGCGTGTATGTGATTTTTACAAATGCATCCATAACTTTTAAACTCTTAAGCGATTGTGTTGAAACTTGGTACATAGGTAGTGAAATATATGACCAACCGTTCCAAAAAGTAGATTAATTAATGCAAATCTGAGTGACACCATTTGAAGTCACAAGTCAAAATTGGGGCCATTTAAAATGCTTTAGTTTCAAATTGAGAACGACCTAAGTGACGGAACCGGTTTAGCTTCTTGAGCTTATTTTCATTGTAAAAATCAGGCATCTTGAATCAATCACTCAAGAAATGTCCCATAGAAGATCACTTGTTAGGGAGTTAAAATTGAATTATTTTATCTCTTGGCGTATAATAGTAATGAATGTATTCGCAATAAATAGTTGACCATTGAAATACGTTTGTGAGGAGTAATCCCATAAGAGTGGATTCGGATTTTTTCCATTTCAGATTGCTACAGATACTTCGTCTCTTGCTTAATCCTGAACATACTATGTCATTTTTCATTAAAACCATTTAAATCTTTTGGTTACACTAGATTTGCTTTTCACCTCCTGATTTTTAACGTGTGGGTACCTGATACTGTATATGGTTTGCCAATTTACGGTATAACTTTATGATTTCTAGAAATCAAGTTATTGAAACGAACTTAAGAGACACGCGTCCTAAGGCAGGAAGCCGTGGTTGACCTAGCAAGACCGAGGGAATCTTTGCTTTGTCTTCTCAAGGGCAAGCTCTCGAAATTAAATAATGAACTCGACCTTATCAGAGACCTTGAGTTGCGGAGATTCCTGATAAGAGATTCTCTGTGGTGAAACAAATCGCTCCCGGCCTCGCTGCGCTTCTACTAGTGCTCGCAGCGCAAAGAGAGAGATAACAACGAACATCAAAAGGCATAAAGTGAAATAACAACTAATATCAAAAGGCATTTACAGTAGTAAGATGCCAGTGAACCCCAAAAGACATGAAATAACAATAACCTTTAAAATATGTCCCTTACATATGTGAATCTTAAGGTGTTTTCAAAATAATCTTCACAATTAAAAACAAAGAAAGACAAAGGAAATGACTGAAATTAAAACTAAAAGCTATAAATTTTCATGCGAAATGGCAAAAACACAGAAAAATACTACAGAAAATAATAATGATGTTTATAAAAAATGCTTACAAGCTAAATAAAAGAATTAACTTCTTAGAAGATTTTTATTTTGTATTTATATAAAGGGCGACACACGAAGAGGTTGTTATTTTTGAACCAATATACTAGACGTGGAACAAGCTACGAATTCGAAACTCTACAGTTATAATAAATACATATGTAAAAGAAAAACACCCGAGTCCCATTTGATTTTGATTAGTCAGAATAAAATGGTGGAGCAACAATTCAACAGCAAAATTGTTAAAAAGAGTAATTAAAATAAGTTTATATTGATTTATGGAAAATAGTTTCAATGAAGGATTGTGGATAAAATTAATTTCATTTTTTTACTACCATCCTATACTTTATCTGATTAAATTTGGTTTACTTAATATTGCAAGAATCAAGAATGATTTGGAATTATTTTAAAAAATTAAATCACTTATTGAAAACTTGCCATTATTTTGATATTCTGCCTTTTTTATGATTAGTCGAAATCAAGTGGGACCCAGAGTTAGTTTTACATATTATGTGTTTGTTGCAGGAGTGAAGTTTTAAGTTTGTAGCGTGTACGAAGTGTCTAATATGTTAGTTAAAAATATGAACCTATCCCTTTATACATGTCGCATTTATACTAGTTATGTCTTAAAATGAATACTTTGACGATCAAATTAGTAACTTTGGCTTTACTCAAAGCAATAACATCATTGTTGTACATTTCTTTGTTCTTAAGTTACAGTGAGAAAATTACGTGAATAAAGAGATCTTATGGGTTCAAATAATTACAAACAATTTTCATGAGAGTGCTGTAATTTGTCAAATACGAGGAAGTTACTCATGTAAAAAAGCGTATAGTATAGTAGCATGGCTGATAGGAAAAAAAAACAATAGAACTCATAGCTTGTCTGAAGTTAATTGAATTTGAGTGCCTCTTGGTACACACATATAGGTAATAAATTCAGTATTTTCTTATACCAACGTAAAAAACAAGAGTAAAGATTTTACAAAACCTGTGATATAGCAGACCGCACAAAGTTTCCTATTAAAACAGTTTATTGTAGCAACCGTTTTTATTGTTATTTATTGTTATATCTATTGTATAAAAATTCAGCTAGATTGAAATTTCCATCGGACAATCAATATTGTCTGATATTGATTCGCTGTAATGTTGAACTAAAAAAATAATTTTATAACAGTTTTCAATGAGCATTTACGATATAGTTTAAAAAATCCTTAAGTAGTAGATAATTTGGATAAAAAAGTTACAAATTGAACCTAATAATTCAACAAAAGGCAATAATCGTTTAATGTTCCGTATTACAATTTCGACAATTCATTAATATGTAGAAAAACGATTAACTATGTGAACAAATAAAAACTAAATATATTTAAAACCTAAAACATACTTGTTACTTTTTAGAATATTTAAACATTTTTTAAATATTCTAGAGAGAATATTTAAAAACTCTTTAGTGACAAAAACACCACAGGTGAACGGAAAGGAAATGCGAGTGTTATTCTTAAATGATATTTCAATGCGAATCACTGGAGCATCACCGTGGGGTTGTGTTTCCTATAAAACTCACTCAAATGCTAAAGCCTGTAGTGGGATAAAAAGGGTATTGTATAGAATTGTGAAAAGTGATATTGGTCGGGAATTTTGAAAATAAATGTTTACCATGGCTCTTAGAGTTTCCTGAAAGTAGATATAATATACGGGTTTAAAGTCACTTGGGGCACGTTTTCCCATAAGAAATAACATGGGATCATTTTTTGGCCACTAAAACCA